TTGTGTCAAACACGTACTCGACCATTATTGGAGCAAAGACCATACTGTTCCAACACCAATGTTCGGCAAATATATGTCTCAAGACAGATTTTTGATAATCCTCAGGTGTCTTCATTTTGCAAATAATGAAGACCAGACTGAAGATAATAGACTTTGGAAGGTAAGGCACATCCTGAATGAACTTATTGGAAAGTACAGGGATTTCTATGTACCAACTCAGAAGCTGGTGATTGATGAATCCCTTGTGCTTTTCAAAGGACGTCTTGCCTTCAAGCAGTATATTCCCTCCAAACACCACCGATTTGGATTGAAATTCTTTGTACTCTGTGACTGTGAAACAGGAATTGTGTTACACATGATAATGAATACGGGTACAAATGTAGACATTCCTGCTAATGACCAACATGGCTTCTCAGATAGTGGGGTGAAGTCACTGCTTACACCATATCTGAACAAAGGCCACATATTATCCTGAGATAACTATTATACTAGTCCTTTGTTAACTAGGTTCTTGATTCATAATAGATCTAGAGTGTGGCACAGTGAAGGCAAAATGAAGGGAAATGCCAGTGTTTTTTTACTGCTATGCAGGTTGGTGATTGTGAGCTAAGAAAAACTGGTGCAATGCTTCCAGTGCGGTGGAAAGACAGGCGTGAAGTGAACATGTTGACCACCGTTCACGATGGTACAATGGTGGACAGTGGCAAGGTGAACAGAACAACAAAACAAATAATCTATAAGCCAGATTGTGTCTTGGCCTATAACATCAAATGCGTTTGGTGGATAAATGTGATATGATGATGGTGGGGGCAATGGAGTGTGTACGGAAAACAGTGAAATGGAACAAGAAAAAGTTTTTCCACCTTGTTGACGTAACAATGCTGAACAGTTACAATATGTATCTTGTCAAAACAGGTGGTAAACAAAATTTCTGTGTTCAGTTTTACTGTAGTGACACAATTACTAGAAAATTTTGGCAAAGCAATTCCTGGTATACAGAGGCCCATTCTGAACCCAGTATTGCACCATGTTTCCACACCTAGGCTTGCTTTCAGGGTTGTCTTTGTCGTACACAATCTAAGGTATTTACCACCAACTACAAACCGTGCAGTAGGCTAGCATGAGTGCATTGTATGTAAGACAACAACAAAGAGGGAACAGAAACGTAAAATGGTGATGAGTTGGTGCACAGCGTGTCAGGCCCCTCTGTGCTCGAGGCCCGAGACTGTTCAACACGCTTCCACTACACATAAGGAGCATAACTGGCAGAACCCTTACAGTGTTCAAGAGAGAACTGGATAAGCACCTCCAAAGGATACCTGATCAACCAGGCTGTGCTGACTCAGGCCGTATGAGCCTGACTCATACGTCAGGCTGCGAGCAGCCGTGTCCAACAGCCTGGTTGATCAGTCCAGCAACCAGGAGGCCTGGTCGACGACCGGGCCGCGGGGACGCTAAGCCCCGGAAGCACCTCAAGGTAAGGTAAGGTGCTATGTCAAATGTTTTGATGAATATCACAGTCTTGATGACTTCTAAATCTCCAAGACTGGTGAAAAAACATGTAAATACAGAATAAGTGAGTGTAAATAGTGAAAACAAATCATAATAAAGTGTATATTTACTGAAAAATAAGAAATTTTTGTGCAAATACTTGTGACACTAATATGTGGAAACATTCTACATTTACAACAGTTGTATGATAATAAATCAAGTGAGAACATATTGAACCACATCAGTGAAAAAAATGGCTGTAAAATACCCCATAGACACTGTAAATTATACAGCGAAAATAAATTCGCGGCAACTCGGGCTCCTCCTGCACCGCGCCTGACTCGGCCCGGACGCACTATGCTCCAGCGAAGATGATACGTGACGTCATCGGCCAACTTCTCGGCTCATTTACGTCATTGGTAAGTACAATTAAATTTTTGTTTTCCCTGTGCTCAGGGAACATAAATACATACATACATGTATGTATTGTATATGGGTTTTGAAGGCAGAATGCTCCTTAGCGGTTTAAGGGTTAAGCATTTGGGATCGGGCTTACCTCGATGACTGGCTGGTCTGGGTTCCGAAGTCAGTCCACGTGTCTGCTCGCCAGGGATTTGGTTCTTTCCCAGCTCGCCAGGTTTGGGTTCTTGATGAACTTGAGAAAGTCCCATTTGGTTCCTTCTCAGGTTTGGACTTAGCTGGGTCTTGTGTGGGACTCTCGAACCTCTTCCTTGTATTTCCCTCCCGTGACATTGCTGTGGTTGCAGTCCGCCCTTTGGCTGTTTTTGGAAGGCACCCAGGTCACGCGTCGGTTGTTCGAGCAGCTGTGCGGGAGTCTGAAGTTCACCTTGCTGGTCTACCCGTCGGGTTGGATCTAGCTTCGGTGGCTGTTCTGGTTCCTAAGGAGACATTCCTTCCGTTGCTCTCGCGATCGCTAGGTTCAGACCCGGGGGGGGGGGGCCTTGTGTCGGCTGCTGCGTCACCAGCTTCCTCTTCGGGTTTTTCAGGGTTCTGTGTCATGGCACCTACTCGAGCCCTTGCGCGATGTGCTCTTGGATGCCTCATCTCTGGGCTGGGGCTTTGTGACCAGTGCTCACCATGCCAGCCAGGGACGGTGGGGTTCGTCCTTCCGTCAGGCTCACAGTGCGGCACAGGAGTTCACAGTGGTGTGGCATTCGTTTCAGAGGGTTCAAGTCTCTCGCAGATTAACGATCTGGCTCCATTCGGACGGCTCCCCTGTGGTTCATTGTCTGAACCATGGGGGTTCGATGCAGTCCTTGGCTCTTTGGGGGTGGTCGCTTCGGTTGACTCGTATGCTGAGTTCTCAGGGGTTTGGTTCTCCTGGCGGTTCATGTCCAGGGAGTGTCCATTGCACTGGTGGACAGCCTTTCCCGATTCATTCTCCTGTCTACGGAATGGACGGTTGACACCGACTCGTTCTATTGGCTCTGCCGGACATTCAGGCGCCCGGACGTGGATCTCTTCGCGTCAGCTTGGTCGAGACGTCTTTCAGTATATGCGGCACCCTTCCACGACTGTGTGGCTCGTCGAGGTCTATGTATGCTTTCCACTTCACTGGTCGAGGTTTGGTTACCTGTTCCTATTCCCACCGGTTCGGTTGTTGCTCCAAGTCCTGGCTCGCTTGGAGACTAACCAGGGGAGGGTAGTCCTGTTGGCCTCTTGGTGGCTGGCACAGCTCTGGTTTCAGGCACTGCTTGCTCGATGTCCGAACCCGAGGGTTTTCCCGCTGCTCCGCTTCTTTCAGCAGGTCGGTCCAGTTCGGTACGAGGCTGGTTCGATCTCCGCTCTTCGCGTCTGGTCTTTTTCATGCGGGTTTATCACCACATGTATGGTGATCAGGTGGCTTCGTTGATGGTGTCCCACCTGCAAGCTGAGTCTTGGCGCCAGTATGATGTTTCCTGGCATTCCTTCCAGCACTTTTTGTCTGTTCGTTGGTTGTCTTCGATTTCTGATCAGGTTGTTTTGTCCTTTCTCTCTTAGTTGTTTCAGAACCATCTTGTGCCAAATACTGTCGCCTCATGTCATGTGGTGCTGGTGGAGCCGCTGCAGCCTGCGTTCGGTGTGGATGTCACTTCTGCTCCATTCTGCAAGCTTTCTTGGGCATTGTTTCACCACAGGCCTGCTCATGTGCTGCATGAGCCATACTGGTCATTAAACCGGGTGCTGTCTTTATCTCACTTCTCGATTTGTGGTGGCCTCTTTGGTTCAGGACTGTTTTTCTAAGACTTTTTCCTGGTTGGCATTGGCCTCTGGGGGGATCGGGTCGGGGAGCTTCATGCTCTCCTTCAGCGCAGGGGTTTCTGCTCTTTCGGTCCTGGTGGTCATTTTGTTCATTTGCAGCCGTTTCCTTCTTTTCTGTCGAAGAATGAGTCTGCTGCTTTCCTAAGGGGTCTTTGGGTTGTTGATGCTTGGTTGGTTCGGCCTAGGATACATCATGTTTCATGTCCGGTTACAGCTCTTTGGCGTTATTTGTGCACCACAGCCTCCGTGGCAGGGGATGTGCTTTAGGTAGTCCCAGTTTCCTTTCTTCCCTGTTCCAGGGCGCGGGTCTCCCAGATCGTCCCCAGGATTGCAGGCTGGCTGCAGTCCAGCCAGCCTGCAGCCTCTCCCCGTGCCCATGATGTTCGTAAATTTGCGGCTTTGGCTGCTATTTTCGGTAATATGTCTTGGGCTGACATTCGGGCATGGGGCTTTTGGAGGTTGGACAGGGTCCTGACCGCACTGTACCTCGTTAATTTTCTGACACTTCTCAGGCGTGTGTAGCCTTGGGTCACAGGTTGCAGCCAGTTGTCTTGACTTTGAGTTATGGAACGAGTGATGGCTGCCTCCCAGGTAAGTCCCTTTTTTCCTTTATCTGTGGTTAGGTAGCTCTGGTGAACCAAAGGGGCTCTCTACAGAAAACCAGCGTCGAATGTAATGAAATGCTAGTTTCTGAGTGAGACCTGGAGGCTCCCTGGCCTCCCTCCCTCCATACAGTCTTTTTTTTTTTTTTTTTTTTTTTATATATATTCAGCCTTTGAACTGAGGAGAGTATCTAGCGTGGAGGTCTGGAAACCCCCCTCCATCCCCCCTTCCGGGGAGGGGGTGGTTGCACGGCAATTGTGGTGGTGTCATGCCTGTTTGCTTGTTTTTGATTGGAGTTCTGCTTGCTAGTTTGGCTTTCGGCTTGCAATTTTTGGCCAGCTGTAGTTTTTGGAATTCCTACCCTTCTGGGTGCCTGACCTGGTAGATGGCAGACTGACTGCTTCCATTTGTATGGGGGTGTCTATAACACATTGCTCCTTTTGCCTCTACTTGAAGGGGCCAGTTTCTGGATCTGATCCCCGGTTGGCCTAGAACTCCATCGATTAACTGTTGCCACAGTCTGATATATGCACATCAGCCTGGTATAGCTCTGGGGAGCCTCCAGGTCTCACACAGAAAATGGTGTTTCATTACATTCAATGCTGGTTTTCTTAAATATTGTCAAGATTTTTGTCTTATTACAGTAATTGTTGGTGATGAGGACACGGTATACGCTGGAGGAATATTCAGACTTGAAGTGGAAGTCCCTGAAAGGTGAAGTCATTATTATTCTTAAAAATATTTCATTGGGTATCCTTATTATAGATGTCATACAGTTTTGTGTTTTCCTAATTCACTACCAAGGTTTGCCATTCAATATCTTGAATGCCAAATCGGTTTGATTTGAAACTTAAAATACTTAAGTGGAGGAAAAAACTGTCTTCAATTTAAATCAAGCAATGTAACCACCCATAGCAACCTTTATATTGAAGCTATATTATGCAGTTGTACCCAAAGGCTCTATCATACAGAGCACCACTTGGTTTCCGAACTTTAGTTATCCGAAACTTCCAATTTCCCAATTGGGGTTGGGAGTCATGCTACACGAGCAAAGTTTGGGTAGGAAGTGGTCCACCAAGCGTTGCGCCGGCCCGTGGTGGTGGATGGGAGATGGTCCAGTTTGCCCACTTACCGTGTCAAGCGCCACCACTCTAGAGTGCCTTCTACCCTGTGATTTCACAGATTCATGGCCTATTATTCCTTTTATTTTGATTTGTCATGAGGCTGGAGTGTTCATTCTGTGATTTTGTTTTACATATCTGCAAAATCAAGAAACATCTGTGCACCATGTTGACTCCAAATGCATGCATTGCATCAGTGATGGCTGACTGGTGGGTGGATGGATGGGAGAGCTTAGGTGGGAGGCAGTATAAGAGAGAGAGAGGGGGAGAATTAGTGAGAAAGGGAGGAAGGGGGTGTAGGGAGAGATGCTAGGAGGTAGGCAGGGAAGTAGTGAGGGAGGATGGGAGAATTAGGGAGGAAGGGAAAGGCAAGCAGGCTGGCAGGCAGGCAGGCAGGCTGGCAGGCAGGCTGGCTGGCAAGCTGGCTGGCAGGCTGGCTGGCAGGCTGGCTGGCAGGCTGGCAGGCTGGCAGGCAGGCTGGCAGGCTGGCAGGCTGGCAGGCAGGCTGGCAGGCTGGCAGGCAGGCTGGCAGGCTGGCAGGCTGGCAGGCTGGCAGGCAGGTTGGCAGGCAGGCAGGCAGGCAGGCAGGGCAGGCAGGCAGGCAGGCAGGCAGGCAGGCAGGCAGGCAGGCTGGCTGGCTGGCAGGCTGGCTGGCTGGCTGGCTGGCAGGCAGAGAGGGAGGCATGCTGGCTGGCTGGCTGCCTGCCTGCCTGCCTGCCTGCCTGCCTGCCTGCCTGCCTGCCTGCCTGCCTGCCTGCCTGCCTGCCAGCCTGCCTGCCTGCCTGCCAACCTGCCTGCCTGCCTGCCTGCCTGCCTGCCAGACTGCCTGTCTGCCTTTCCCTCCCTCCCTAATTCTCCCATCCCTCCATACCTCCTAGCATCTCTCCCTACCTCCCTCCCTTTCACACTAATTCTTCCCCTCTCTGTTGGTTGAGTGGCGAGGGAGGTGGTAAGGAAGGATTTGCTGACCAGGCAATGGTTGCCAAACCTCTCACCCCTATTGTATTAAAATTTTTAATCTTAGTTGTAAAATATTTATGCAAAATGTTAATTTTCGCATATTACTATACATTGTTAATCATTAACATGTTTTATGGTTTCCTATTTATTAATTAAACAAATATAGTTTTATTTATGAATTATGCACAGTTGGCATATGCGAGCAGGCGCTGACAGATGTCCCCCTCTACGCCTAGCCTCGACCCCATTAGTAGCTCCTTCGACCCCATTAGTAGCTCCCTCTGCCATAGCCTGCTGTTCTCATGTTATGAGGAAGGCAGTGAGGGAGGGATGGAAGGCATTGAGGGAGGGATGGGAGGCAGTGATGGAGGGATTCATTGAGGGAGGGATGGGAGGCATTGAGGGGGAGAGGCAGTGAGAGATAGCAGTGAGCGAGGGAAGAGTGGCAGTGAGGTAGAGTGGTGGTGATGGAGGGAGGGAGGGAGGGAGGAAGTACTGTCGCATTTATGCTATGAACCTGTTGATTTTTCCCTTAGATTTTTTATTTTAATTTTTTTCTCTCCATTTTCCTCCATTTCTCGTTTATGAACTTACACGATAACCGACGGGTCTTGTCCCCAAGGGGTCCGGAAACCAAGTGGTGCTCTGTATCTACTTTTCACAATGTGTATGGAATCTCTCTCCACCACATCATTGCCTAATGCATTCCATTTAATAACAACCCTGACACTGAAAAAAATCATTCTAATGACTCTGTGTATGGCTCATTTAGGCACAAGTTTCCACCTGTGTCCCCTTGTTCCTCCCATGGTAAATAGTTTGTCTTTGTTCACCCTGTCAATCACACAACTTGATAATAGTCTAGTACGGACCAAAACGTCATTGCTTCTCCATCTTCTGAGTTGGGGTTTGGTCATCACCCTGTCAATTCACCTGAGAATTTTGTTGGTGGTGATCATGTCTCCTCTCTCTTCTGTCGTCCAGGGACGTGATGTTTAGTTCCTGTAGCCTTTCCTCGTAACTCATACCTCTCAGTTCTGGGACTTGGCATACCTCTGAATCTTCTCTGAATTTGTCTTGTGCTTAACTAGGTATGGACTCCAGGCTGGAGCTGCATACTCCAGGATTAGTTTGACATAAGTGGTATACAAGGTTCTGAATGATTCCTTGCACAAGTTTCTAAAGGCAGTTCTTATGTTGGCTAATCTAGCATATGCTGCTGATGATATCCTTTTGATGTGGGTTTCTGGTGACAGGTTTGGTGTAATATCAATCCCCCAGATCTTTCCCTCTACTTGACTCTTGCAGGGTTGCACCTCCAGATAGTACCTTGTGTTTAGCCTCCTGCTTCCTTCACCTAATTCATTAATTTACACTTACTTGAGTTAAACTTCTGTAGCCATTTTCTAGACCATTCCTCCAGTTTGTCCAAGTCGTGTTTTTTAAATAAAATAAAAAAACAGTTGAAACAATTTGAAAAATGGAGAAATGCCATAAAGGTTCGTTCAGTGTTTGTCGGGTAGGCTGCTCTATTATTGAGATGTAAATGAAAAATACAAAACAAATGGAACATGTTTGAAACAAAGAAAGATTGTCATAATGGAGCAGCCTACCCGACAAACACTGAACAAACCTTTATGGCATTTCTCCGTTTTCCAAATTGTTTCAACGGTTTTATTTTTTTTATTTTTTTTATTTAAGACATATGGAGCAGCTTACCTGCTGAACACTGAACGAACCTTTTGCTATAAGACAAATGAAAAAACAAATTGAACAAATTTGAGGAAAGAAAAATGTCATAAGGGTTTGTTCAGTGTAAGGTAGGCTGCTCCATTATTTAAAACATCGAATATCATATTAATGTTTTTCGGTGGTAAAACGGATTAATTTGATTTCCATTAATGTCAATGCGGACATTCGTTTTGTATGATGTCCATTTCACATGACGATCACGGCGCCAGAACGGATTAAATTTGTTATTCGAGGTTCCACTGTATATTGGGAAAACATTAGCTATCTTCCAGCTTTCTGGTAGGTCTCTTGTATCCAGTGACCTGTTGTACTCCATAGAGTGTGGCATGCTTAGTGCTTCTGCACCCTCTTTTAGTATCCATGGTGAGATTCTGTCAGGCCCAACAGCCTTTGTCACATTCTTTTACCTTGTCTTTGTCACTCCAACAGATACCTTGGATCTGTTGGAGCTTAAAGAGGTAAGGAGTTTGAGTTTATCTTATCACCGGTAAGCTCAAACTCCTCCGAGGTTGCTTGGCTTACCGCCTCCTTTCTCAGTGCAGGGACTTTCCCTTGCTCTATTGTTAAGGCCTCCTAGAATCTCTTGTCGAGTTCTTCTCACACCTTGTCATTTTCTGTGTATTTGGTCTTCCGTTTTCTCAGTTTCATCACTTGTTTCTTCACTGCTGTTTTGCTCTTGATGTGGCGGTAAGCAGTTTTGGTTGGGTCTTGGCTTCACTAGCAATGTCATTTTCATACTGTCTCTGCTTCTCTCCTCACTCTGAGTTGCTCATTCCTGGCCCCTCTAGTATCTTCCTCTGCTCTCTGATGTTCTGTTATTTCTGTAGTTTCTCCATGTTCTTGTACTTGATTACTTTGCAGAATGTGAGTTACAATAATGTGGCTGAAGATATGATGACCAAACCATACACCAGAAGATGAAGAGACGACAACATTTCAGACTGAAACGTCGTCGTCTCTTCATCTGGCTCGTGGTTTGGTTATTAATTGCTTTGCTTCCCTTACATACCTGATTGAACCATGGATTCTTTGGTTGCTTTTCATTTTTCTCCTTTTGGGCTGCGATAAACCTGTCTGCAGCTTCCTGGCTTCTGGGTGACGTAGTCAATCATATCTTGTACAGTCTTTTCTTTGAGTTCTGTTTCCTATGGTATTCCCATTAGGAAGTTCCTCATCTCATTATAGTTTCCTCTTCAGTAAGCCAGCTTTTCCTTTCTGATCCCTTCCTTGGATTCATTATCCCTTCTTCCACCAAATAATCAAATATTGGTATGCTGTGGTCACTCATTCTCATGGGGGCTTCTAGTTTTACTTCCTTTATGTCTGACTCATTCAAGGTGAATATCAAGTTGAGTCTAGCTGGTTCATCATTGCCTCTCATTCTTGTGGGTCCCTAGATGTGTTGGCTCAAAAAGTTTCTTGTGTCCTCATCCAGTAGTTTAGCTCTCCATGTATCTGCACCTCCATGTGGTTCTCCATTCTCCAAGTCTTCCAGTGGTTAAATCATGGGTCTTACCATGATTAAAAGTCTGGATCCATTCCTGCAGGCAACTGAAACTGCTGCTGCTGTATTATATTAATGTTGCCATGTTGTTTCTTTCAAACTCCTGTCTGGGTCTTCTACCATTTAATAGAGAAGTTATTAATTACTGCTACTATTATCTTAAGTCCTCCCATTGTCATAGTTCCTGTTACGTAGTCTGAATCCTTTAAAGCCTGGGATGTCCATCTCTTTGAAACTCTGTCTTTCCTTATCAGCAGAGCCTGTCAGAAAAAACGACACCATTTACTAACCTTTAATACAATATGCAGCTAATATTGCTGCTTATTATGTACTAAAAAATTAACTCAAATAATATTCTTTAATCATTCAAAGAAAAC